TCTATTTCCTAACCTCTATATCCTGCATCCTTTGATCTCATCTCCCTCTCTTCCCTGACGGTGGGTGGAGGACAGCTCGTTTGCCTCCCAGCAGTACAGATGCACTTTGAAAAGATCAGTGAGCGAGAAAACAAAGAGAGACAGATATGAGAAGAGAGTCACCAGGACACAAAGCCCCAGAGCGAGCAGATGACTAGCCCAGACTCTCTCTCTCATACATAGAACATATAAACACATTCATACTTCTAACAAATAAAAGCAGGGGAGAATGGGGTAAGCTGTGACACTTTTCAGATAAGAAATTGACAGAAATACCTTTCAAATAATCTGAATATTTGAAGCCAAAATTTAGAAAATAATTTGTGTATATTTATGTAATTTATTTATAAACTATTTTACACACACACATAAATATATATATAATTAAAAAAAATTTTTTTATAATTAATATATTTATAATAAATAATATATATTTTTAAAATTTATATATTTTCACATGTTCATTTTATATTTTATATAACCAAAACAATTAAAGTCTTTCTGAATACTTTATCTGATAATCTGACAAAAACAATTGCATTTTTTGGTAGATTAAGGAGGTGACACATCTTACCCCAATCTCCCTAACACTTAAATCATCAGGATTGTTTGTGTTCAATTGTACAGTACATTTATGTGAATGTGAATGTGAAATATACACAGCATGCGATTGATATATTACATCAGCAAAGGGAACTGCGTCTACATGTACACAAGTGTCCAATAAAGAAATAGTGAATGTATCCTTTTACGAGCGTTGCAGATCTCCAAAATCCGATTTTACATCATGTGGGCATTTTTGTACAGTTCATACGCTAACAGACTATTTCTAAAACCGGCTGCAAACATCCATAATTGCTTCTCACAATGCTTTCCCTTCATTAGTTTTCATCTTACAGTTGCTGTTAAACCTCAGGCCAAAAAATAAATAAATTAGCCACTCAGCAACCTAGCAAAAATATCTACAGTCTGTTCTACATAATTAAATCTGATAGACTCAAAAAAAAATCAGCTTCATTTTCACTGGTAATAGTTTGTGATGGCATGAAGCGGGGTTTGAAATAATACATTAGGTGCTTAGAGAGTTTTTTTTTTTCTTTAACAATGGGTTTCGTCTAGGCATCATACTTCTTTCCCGCCCTGTGGATTTGCTGGTACAAGGTCATGGAGAATGCCATCCCGAGCAGCTGCAGAACAGAGAAAATGACTTCAGTGTGGATGTGCATCAAACAGGATGTGACATCAATATAATTACAGCAAATAAACTAATCATAATAAAATATAAAGTAAAATAATAAAATAAAATAAATTTAAATTAGAGACTATTGAAATAAAATAAAATATTATTAAAATACAATACAATACCAATCAGAGAAACTATTAAAATTAAATTAAATTTGAGAAACTATTAACATAAAATAATACAATAACTAACACATCTACTTAAACAATCCGTTTTATTGCTGGAAATGAGTCTAGCTAGTCTGCATTTTTGCAGTGCAATGCAATGCAATAAAATAAAGTAAAATTACACCAAAAAATCTATTTAAATAATAATAAAATAAACCAAAGCAAAGAAAATATTAAATTAATAGGCATCATACTTCTTTCCCGCCCTGTGGATTTGCTGGTACAAGGTCATGGAGAATGCCATCCCGAGCAGCTGCAGAACAGAGAAAATGACTTCAGTGTGGATGTGCATCAAACAGGATGTGACATCATTGGAGGCAAAGCTGTTTTCCAAAACATTCCAGGATGAGTCTAATCGTAATATTTGTACCTGCAAGACCAGCACACACATCGCGATGGTTCCGAGCAAATGTTTGTTGTCGTTCAGCCATTCCTCAACCTTCTCATAGCAACCCTGAGAGTCAGAAAGAAGAAGTGTGAAGTAACATTATAAGTAATGCTGGGAAGGCTATTGAAACTGTTTATAAATTCTGAAAATTTACAATGTGCACCACATTCAGAATTTAAAGTAGCTAAACTATATTCACACTATATTTATCAATATTTTAAGTAGTTATCTACAGTATAAGCAAGTAGCTAACAACATTAAAACTATTTAAGCAGAAAATATAGTTACATTATTAAACTGGATGATCACAGAAGTATTTATGACTATATACTGTATCTCAATTAGGGCGACTTGGCCCAGTAAACACCAAAAAATCTATTTAAATAATAATAAAATAAACCAAAGCAAAGAAAATATTAAATTAAATAAATTTAAATTAGAGACTATTTAAATAAAATAAAATATTAATAAAATAAAATACTATACAAATCAGAGAAACTATTAAAATTAAATTTAAATAGGAGAAACTACTAAAATAAAATAATAAAAATAAAATAAAATGTACATAAGAGTAATGAATAAAATAAAATGAAATCAAATCAAATATCCAGCTGTACCTGTGACCAGAAGACGTTAGTGACATTGCGACCGCACTCTCTATAGTGTTCCTGGCAGCATCTGTCTGGAACTGTTTTCTCCTGCAGGGCATCATGCCAGTCTGTGTGCCCAGTAACGCCACAACACTGCCACTGAGAGACAGAGTGAATATTCAGATTAATCATTTACACACCGAGCAAAGAAAATTTCTGCAGACGCCTGCATATTGTTCAGTACTGGAGGGCTTCATGAGTTATCTTCCATAATTCTGTGGAGAGCAGCTGCGGATAAGATGTGGCCCAATCAAATCTGAACTCACAGTGACCCGCCATTACTGTCACTGATGACCCTATATCACACCTGCACTCATTCACACACACCTCAGCTTGGATAATGTTCCAGGCATTGCGGAGGCCGATGTTATTGTCCGTGTTGTAGAGCCTCAGGCCGTCTTTCAGATCCTGCTTAGCGTTCTCGCTCACCTGCAGAAAAGTTTAAAGTCACATGAAGCATTTGTAATCCGAATATGAGTTACAGAGTCGATTTTTAGAAATGAAGAAAACTTTAAGAATACTGAGAGAGTAAACCAGAAGAGCAGGTGTGTGGGCTGTTGTTGTCAGGAGTCGAGTGGGTAATGAAAGTCTGTGTGCGGTGGGTGGTTAGTTCTGTGTTTGTGTGTGTGTGTGTGATAGATAGATTGAGGGGGTGTGTGTGATGCTTGTTGTTCATACTGTACCTTGTCCGTGTACACGAAGAAAAGGATGAGCAAAATCAGCTCTGCCAGCAGAATAATCAACAAAACAATGAAGAACTACAAGAAAAAAGACAGTAAAGTAAGTAAACTATTCATATCCAACAATACTAAGTTTGTATACACACACACACACACACACACACACATATATATATATATATACATATATACACACACACATGTATATATATTCAGTTGTATTTATTTATTTAGTGCATTGCCTTGTAATAAGTGGGATTATGTAAAGTCAGGCCAAAAATTACCCCCTCTCTCAATCAATCAATCAATCAATCAATACATATAGAAAAATAATAAAATAAAATAAAACTAACCAAGTGTTGCCCAAAGGCTGACACAAGCGAGTGGGATAAAGTATGTTTTTGCACTATTCATGACAATGGAAGCTGTTTGAATGTGGAAATGAGGACGCTTTTGTTTACCACTCGCAGCATCTCAGCTGCGCAGCCTTTCTCTGCACTTCTACACTCTCCATCATCTTTTGATGAAATGAGAGCTTTCTGACCCTGCATAGACAGCAATGGAACTACCACGCTCAAGGCCCAGAAAGGTAGTAAAGACATTGTTAAAATAGTCCATGTGATGTCAGTGGCTGAACCGTAATGTTATGAAGCTACGAGAATACTTTTTTTGCACAAAGAAAACAAAAATAATGACTTTATTCAACAATTTCTTCTCTTCCAGTCATGCGTTATAGTGCTCTCGTGAATAGCAGCAGAGACTGATTAGAAGAGAATACATTTTTGAATAAAGTCTTTAAAATGCTTTAAAAAAAGTATTCTTGTAGTTTCATAAAATTACGGTTGAACCACCGATGTCACATGGACTATTTTAATGATGTCCTTATTACATTTCTGGGTCTGGGAACATTTCAGTTACATTGCTGTCTATGCAGGGTCAGAAAGCTCTCGGATTTCATCAAAAATATCTTAATTTGTAAGTAATTACGAATGAAGGTAAGCACTGCTTTTAAATCTGTGTTAAATAAAAAAAATAAAAAAACATCAGAGCAACACCCAAACTACAGTGCCTATACAGAAACAACATGGCATATTTATCAGAAACTAGATTTTCAAAACCTAGGTTTTGGGAGGGAACTGCACAGGGTTCAGAAATGGATGAAAAGCTACTAATTAATGAAACCATAAAAGTCTAAAATAAAAAATTCAAAATAAAGCACTTGTGTTAAATAAAAAAAATAAAAAAACATCAGAGCAACACCCAAACTACAGTGCCTATACAGAAACAACATGGCATATTTATCAGAAACTAGATTTTCAAAACCTAGGTTTTGGGAGGGAACTGCACAGGGTTCAGAAATGGATGAAAAGCTACTAATTAATGAAATTCAAAATAAAGCACTTATCATAAAATGTGACCATTAACTGAAATCAGAGAATCAACATAAGAATATGTTGGTGAACTACTTAAATATTAACTTAAAATGTCAGGGGGTACTTAAGTAATTATTTTATGTCAAAGAGGTTTGGCTGACTAAAACTGTTTTTGTGACTCCCTCAACTAAACAATGAACTATTCATATGCTTTGTAGCATAATGGAAACTTTCATTTCAGCGCCTGAGAAGAACAGTTAAAAATGCAGCAACAGCTGAAGTGATAAAGTATGACGTTTTTTGTAGTTTACTTTTGGAAGACAACCAGAGAGGATTGTATTAAAACCGAACATGCATAATTTAGAAAGAATTTGCAAATGTTAAATCTCAAAACCTGACAACCCAGGATTACACTAACCCAGGTTTAAAATAACCCTGGATTAACAATACATTCCTTATGCAGTGTGCATTGTGGGAGTTTAGGTGTCGACTTACACTCAGCAACAGGCACTTGTTCTCCTTGATGGCACCGAGGCAACCAAGAAAGCCCGTTACCATGACGACAGAGCCCAAGGTAATGACCAGATTGGCGGCTGATAGGGAGGGGAAGGAGGGGGAGAAGGTGGCAAAACTGCCCTGAGAAACGGACAGCCATATGCCCACACCTAACAGCCCGCAGCCCGACAACTGAGGAGAGACAGACAGCGGAGAGCGTTTCACGTTAATAAACTCACAGAAACTCATTCATTATGGATCAAACACGCATAAACATTCAGTTCGACAGTGTTTCTTCAGGCTTTTACGTGTCCCAAAGTGTAAAACTGACTCTTCGGTTTCATCCACCGAAGTCAGTAGGTCTCAGGAGGACCTGAGAAGCACTTTCTGAACTCAAGTTCACTCAAGGTAAGGTGTACTTACTGTTTCAGGACTGAGATGGGTATGTGTGCACATGCCTGACCAACAAAGCGATACCTGTGTCAGCTCTCCCTGCTGTGAGAGCAATATAAATGCTAATTTGAACCGCAATGAAGGTTGTTGTTAAGTAATGAAGTGTGAATTTTTTGTGTGTCTAGATCGTAGGAGAGTAGAATGTGTGTTTGTTGGGGAGAAACTCTTGTCATTTCATGCTCAGGTAACCGAAATGTAAAAGTAGTCCAGTCTGCTAAAGGCCAGGCAAAAGGAGAAAGTTAGCAAACACACCTGGAGGACCAGCTCCAAACAGAAAACCAGATAATGCTGTATTTACGGCACAAGATGGTACATCTCTACCTGCAAAATGTGATTTTATACAATAAATGTCAAAATGCTTTCATTGTTTTATCCCAATTTACCAGAGGTGGGACCAAGTCATTGTTTTGCAAGTCACAAGTAGACTCGAGTCCGAGTCGAGTCTCGAGTCATGTGACTCGAGTCGACACCCCTGCAATTTACCATGCAGAGTCAACTATACTGTAAGTAAGCCATTTGTTGATTTACAAGTTCACATTTGTATATAACACTTCACAGTAAGATAAAGCTATATTTATTTTACACTCTGACTCAAGAGTAAAGATGCATGGATATTTAAATTGGCCAGTACGATTAACTGATAAATATTTCCATGTTATGGCTGATGACCAATAAATATCTGATGTTACGCTATTATGCGTAAATTAAGACTATTTAGTACAAATGAATAGGAAAAATAATAAATATTAAAAAACTATATACATAAAAACTAAAATAATTAATTAAAAACTAAAATCACTTGTTTTAAATACTACATGCAAATTTAGGCATCACAACATAGAAAAAATTTATTGAATATTACATGAAAATTGGATCATTTATATGAACATTATATGAAAAATGGATATTCTTACTAAAGATTACATCTTTTATCTAACGTTTGTTAAGTATTAAGTTTTTTACTTAGTTTATTTTCATAACATATATATATATATATATACATACATACAAGATTATATTAAACTGTGTTATTAAATTACTAGTGTTCTTAAAGATTAAATATGTTTAAATATGGATAATATGAATATATAAGTAAAATATATTACGAAATATTTTTAAGATTTTTAAATTAATAATTTAGAAGGGCAAGATGTTCTCTGTTAATCCTTCCTCACATAACGTGTGTCATTGCGAAGTATGCCCTACAGTGCAGCGGTCTGGCTCCCCACACACTGTTCTTTTGAGTGTAACTGAAGGTGAAAAGCTGTGTCATTCAGTTCCCTTGAGAAAATACCCAGCATGCACTCTGAGAATCACTAAGAACCACGAAGAATCTGAAATGAGACAGAACCCTTGTACTTGGAAAATGATGAGTACGAAAAATAAGAGATAAAACAGGTATGTGTGTGTGTGTGTGTGTGTGTGTGAGAGAGAGAGAGACAGAGAGAGAGAGAGAGAGAGAGAGAGAGAGAAAGAGAGGAGCAGCAGAGCAAGTCAGAAAAATAGGTTAAAGATGCTGAAAACTTTAAAAACCATGAAAATGAAAAGTATGGCACAGTAATCAGAAAGTCTGCGAGGAAATAATTAGGGAGCAAATGCAAGCATGAAAAAAAAGCCAAAGAGCACACAAACAAGAAAATAACAGAATAAAACATAAACAGGAAGAGCACAGAGTAAGACTATTCTGTCCACAGGAGCAGACAGCTTTTAACCTAAATTTTTGTATTCATGACGCGCAACCAGAATGAAGACGCACACAAACAAATTGAATTCAATCTATTCTCTCTGCCTTTGGAAAATCCTACATAATGGGTTTGTTCTTAATCTAATCCTGCATTTCAAATTGGGGGACTATTCGTTTGAGTGGTTTTCTTTACAGTGCACTGCATTCAAACACACATAGACTGAGGTAGGCATTTACTAGATAAATGGTCTGAAGTAGCAGCAATCAACACAATCAAGGTGTGTGAAGAGGAGACTGAGGAAAGGACTGAGAAGAAGCAGGGAAGTTGGGTCAGGATGGAAAGTAAAGAACTGGGCTAAAAAGGACCAAGGACAGGACAGGACAGGACAGGACAGGAAAGGACAGGACAGGAAAGGAAAGGAAAGGAAAAAGAACAGGCCAGGAAAAGGTAAAGAAAATAAATAGAAAACAATGGGAACAAGGTATAAGAAAAAGCAAGAAATAAACATGGGGAAAAAAGGAAAGGATAGGAAAAATCAAAAGAATGGAACTGGCCTAGGAAAGAAAATATATTAAATGTAAACACAGGGAAACAAACGACAAGAAAGTAATAGAAAGAAAAGAAATTATCTGAAAAGGACAGGGAAGAAAATGGGCAGAAAAAGAATAAGGAAATGGAAAAGGAAAAGGAAAGGATGACAGGCAGGAAATGAAAAAAGGAATAACAGGAAAAGGGATAGCAAAGGAAATGAGAAAGGAAATGGATAGAAAATTACAGGGAAAAGAAAAGTAATTAAAAAGATGGAAACAAGGAAATATGAAAGGACAAAGGACAAGAAAAGCAATAGAAAAGGAATTCACAGGAGAAAAAGGAATAGTAGTGTACTAGAAAAGACATGAAAAAGGAAATAAAAGGATAACGGAGAGGAAAAGGGATAGGAAAGGAAGGAAAAGGTGAAGAAGAGAAGAATAGAAAGGGGCAAGAAAGGAAATGGAAAAAGACAGTACAGGAATAAGGATAACAAAGGAAATTAAAAAGGAAAGGAACAAAATAAATCAATAGAAAATGACAGGAAAAGAAAAAAGGAAATGAAAGAAAGGAGCTTAATACTAAAGGGCAGGAAAAGTAGAATGAAAAGAAAATGAAATGACAAAGGAACAGGATAAGAAAAGAAAGTAAAATGACAGGAAAAATGAAAAAGGGAAAAAAGGAAAAGGACAGGAAAAAAGCAAAACAAAAGAAAGAACTTTTTACTAAATGTAGGCAGCATCGATGAATAAGTATTAGAAATAACATACCAGAAGATCTAGAAAAGTTGAGTCAGTCGTTCATGTTAATAACAGATCCCACATGCAAAACTGACCTCACACCCACTAATGAGTGTACTGTGTGTTTGTGACCTTGTGCAGAGTGAAGTGAGTCTGGCCTAAACTTTCTGACTCATGTATTAAACATGGAGCTGAGAGCCATCAGGCTCAGTAATGTCAAGCACATGAAATATAGATTACCAGTGACCTAAAACACCTCCTCAACTCCACTCAGAAACATCATTACCACCCCATTTACATTCCATATAAAAATAAAAAAAATTTAATGCACACAATACATCAACTGTCTCTCACATAAGCAGCGAGATCAAGCGTTTTTGTATTATGTTCTGAAAAGACTTTATTGAACGCCTCTGTAAACCTTGTAATTCAAAAGAGATATGTAATTTCTCTTCAATGGAAAACTGAACTCCGAAATTAAATTCCAGTGAAGCAAAAAAAACCACACTATCGCTTTGACAAACCATTCCATCTCAAAGTAATTCTATATAAAGCTTTCAAATTACTTTTATCTTTCTTTCTATCTCACTCCTCCATCTTTCTTTTATTCCCTCTCCGCCCTGCTGTTTAAAGTGTACAGTGTAAAATCTTCAGGCATTTGCAATCTTCACATAATTTCCTTATTCTTTAATGTTCCCTTTTCCATCATTATATGGGTGTATATGTGGGTGTGTGTGCAGTGGGAGATTTTAGATCAGTCGGGAGTTTTTTTCTCAAGTTTCCTGCTTGTGATTTGGTGCTTCTGTCATTAAACTGGCCCAGAATCAAACAAACAACAACACACACAGCAGATCAAATGAGCGAAATCTCACAACTCACAGAACCGTAATCTGACACAGACTTCCTGTTGCAGATACACCACAACAACAACAACATAGACACAGATGATTGAAAGTTAAATTGGAGGCCTATAAGAGATGTTAGAATGAAAAAGAGTGAGAGAAAAGGCGGGGGGATTTGTTTGAGTGCTCTAGTTCAGATGAATATGTATTACTGCCTTTGATCTAAGAGCATTTAACACCTCGTGATGAACCTACTTCCCTCCTTGCCTCTCACTGCAGCACACACATGCGTGACATGTTCACAAACATTGACTGTGGTATCAATTTTTACCAAAATGCTACAGTTATTACCAGGTGCGTCATACCCATTCAGACTGATTTCTGAGTTAAGTGTTTATGATTTATTGGCATCTTTAGAAACCGTTTTATACAGACTGCATTCACAACTACCATTTTCTAGCCACTGATGTATTTTACAGCTGAACAATACTAGAAAAATATTTCTCTAGCAATTTCCATGACTTGGGATTTAATTAATATCTATGATTTTTTTGTAGGCTAAAACTGCTATTTTTATTTTATCTGATAATTTCGTTATTGTGGGACCCTGCGGCGTGCAGCATGGGAAAATAAACACATAGTATATGCAGAAAACACAAACACCAAGCATCTTATTATCCCACACTGCATGCATCTGACAATCATTCACATGAAAATCTCAATGAAGAAATTTAGCATTACATCACTTGCTCACCAGTGGATTCTCTGAAGTGAATGGGTGGCATCAAAATGAGAGTCCAAAAAAACATCACAATAATCCTTCCTGTTTTGTCCTCTCACATCAAAATTCACCAACATATTTGTTTAAAGCTGTTTTGAACTTTTTTTCGCTTATAAACAGTGCTTGATTTGTGCATATTTCTCTCTTGATTCTGACGAGAACATTTTAACTGGAAAAAGAACAATGGATAAAGGACTCATATTTTACGCAAAAGCAGTGGTTAAAACATCTTAAAATGATGGATTTGTTTCTTACAAACACGCAGCTTTTCACTTCACAAGATGGTAATTAATGGACTGGAGTTGTGTGGATTACTTGTGGACGGCACCCATTCACTGCAGAGGATCAATTGGTGAACACAAGATGTAAATGTTCTACATTTCTCCAAATCTTTTCAGATAAAGAAAGAAAATCATCTACATCTTGGATGGCCAGAGGATGAGTAAAATTTAAGCAAATTTTCATTTTTGGGTGAACTATTCCTTTAATTCTTTAGAGTTGCTATTTAGGATTATGGATTCACACAATTCTCCAACCCCACATATGAGCAATAATAATAGTGATGCTCGCCTTAGAGAACATCGCTAATGATCCGCCCCAAGCTCACATGGCTGAGCCAGAAACAAACATTGTTAAACCATTCAAACAAACAGCGCATTGTTTTCAAAACCCCACAGAGACACCATGCTCACTTTTTGGGGAAATCATTGTATAAACAGCTTTCTTATAGCAGTCTCTGCACATTAATCTTTGACAAGAGAACGCATTTTTACAACAATTAAGTGTGGATAATTCATGCTGTACTTTGATACTCACCCAGAACAGCAGGTTGAAGAGGAACATCATGTATTTGACACAGCACAGGCATCCACGAGCCATCTTCAGCTTCTCAAACTCTAGGAGCAACACAAATGACAAGTCCAGGTAAAACACAACGTACTTCCCACCGGCAGACACGCGCTTATGCTGAGGCTTCCCTCCAGGCGGGACGGCGACAACGGCACCGTCACTCTGTGCCGTTTGATCTTTGACATTTGACCCCCGGGAGCCATAGAAGGCCCCCAGGGCCAGGCGGTGACCCCGACGGGCCGCCCGGGTGAATTCTGACTCTGTGCTGTCCAATGAGGGGCTTCGCTGGACCTCGGATTCGTGGCTCTCACACCTCTGCATCATCGGATGAAGGCCGAGCAGAGGGCATGTTTCACACACACTCACACATGCTGCAACTTAAGCTGCATGTGTCCAAAGTTGCCATTTGAAAGGCTTTAACTTAAACAGCTGTGCTCACAAAACACAAGAACTTCAGAGGTCACAGATGTCTAATGAGAGGGTTTTCTCGAGGTCGTAATTCCTTTGCATTGAGAACGTCTTCCTCCTGGTGCTTCCTATTTGTCTTTTCCCCCTTTACGCTGTTCCTATTGTGCGTGCAGGAAAGCAGAGCATGTGCTTTCAACTTTCCCCGCTCTCGCTCCATCGCACTCTTTCATTGCTCTGCGTCGGCATGATTCGCTTTGCTGCATGTACCACTTTTTTCTCTGCACGATCTTGCTTCCCTGCAGTGCTATTATTAGAGATCTCCTCTCCCAGCTCTTCCCATCCCAACTAGTGCTCCGTCCCTCTCTCTGCATCCTCCTACCTTCATTCGTTCATCCCTCTCTCTCTCTCTTTGGCTCCTCCTCCTGCACTCCGGCCAATCTGTTTGCAGGTCAATGGATGCGTTATCTCCCTTCCCATGTACCTTTGAAAGTATCAGTAGCCAAGCGGGGAAATGAAAGCTGATTGAGGGAATAAATCAAATCCTAGCACATGTATGTCTTATCCCTGTGATATTGTCTGACTGTACATGCCGTCTCGCTTAATCAGAGCGTTTTTGCAGAGATTGTGCAGTGCCAATGTTTCCAGGTCATTTCTCTGTTGTCATGCCACATAAGTGTAAAGAGTGCATCTGATTTGTTTTTTTGGTGTTGTGTGGATGGTGCTCTTCATGATCTTTCAGCACATTTACATGTTAAAACACACTTCAGACAAAAAAACATGCATTTGCTTTCATACTGGGTCAGAATTTGGTCTGTGCTGGTGATATTTTAAGATAGACAGATAAATAACAAAACATCTGTACACGTAGCTATTTATTTACTTTTTTTAACCAACCAACCAGCTACCAACAACCTCCCAAAAGCAACTGCTTAGCAATGCCATACAAACTACCTTAAACAGCATCAAACTAATAAATCACCTTCAGCTTTGTGGAGTTTAAAGCTTCCATTTCAATCTATCAAAGCAATGTCAAATTCAATAAGAGTCCTTTTTGTTGCAAGTGATCCTGATTTAACCACTGGCTAGGATGCTTACTGACCTCTAACGTGAGCTGCAGTGAAGCGTGGATGAGACAGCTTGAAAAACAGACTGATACTGGGTCTAATACAGTACAGTTCGTTCAACAGATTGTACTGTCTCAGGGTACTGTCACATTTAATTTACACAATCCATGTTTCCAGACTTCTCTACCACTAGAATGTTCTGGGTAGACATATTTTCAATGTTGCATCAGCTGAATGATTGACACCCTAGTACGCAATAGTATAACGGACAGAACAGATTGCACATCTATACCTCACAGCTGTTTTTTTAATAATGACTAAGATTAATAAAAAATTTTTGAAATCTATACCACAGGGTATGTCATAGTTTGAAAATGAATAATGAATATTAAATTTTATTCTAAAATGCAAAAAATATTTATTTTAGGCTTAGCCTTAAGCATTATAATTTGGTTAATATAAAAGCAATAAAAATCATTGTATGTCCCTATTTATGTAACTAAACATGCATATGTGTGTTTGGGGGATATTTCTGTAGAGATCCTCCTGTGACTATTTTTTGATTTTTTTGTTATAATTCTTTCCCTCCGGTGCTCTTTCCACTCTAATTAAATGGCATTGTGATCTTGTGTAACTCAGTGTGTGTGTGTGTGTGTGTGTGTGTTATATGGAGCTGCTGTGTATTTTACCCTGCGGTGGCTTTGTGAGATCTGATGTCCTCAAGAAACTCATTAGACAGGATTTATTAACTGAACAGTGTTTATTTTGCTGCAAGGGTGGACAATACTTTCCCACAGCTGCACACACAGGCAGCAAATTTATACACCTATACTTTTGAGGACCTCCCATAAATGTATATTGTTATTGTCAATTTGCTTATTTTGGCACCGTTTTTTTTTTTGTAAGGATTTTCCCCACAAGTCCAATTTTATCATACTTTTATCATACAGACTTTTATCATACACAATGATCAAACATTTAAAATCACTGAGAAGTGTTTGTTAAATTATTTTTTATTAAACAATTTTTAAAACACAATAAAAAACAAAAATCTGTAATAAGGTTAATAGCTGTTTTTGCAGAAATTCATTAATGCATTATCTTGAACTAACAATGAACAACATTTTACAAGTATTTAATAATGAGTTTAATAATTAAATAATAATAATTTAATAACATTTTTTAGTTAATTTCTAAATACACTATAGTTCATTGTTAATTCATGTTCATTCATTATAGATTAACTAATGTTAATTTATACAACCAGAAATTACTTTTGTCATCATAACTCACAGATAGCTATACTGGGCTGTTCCCAAATAGTAATTTTTTTTTTTATTTTTTTTTTATTTTTTAAATAAAAGTTAAATAGTTTGAATGGAAATGTGCTTATGAGTACATAATTTGGCTCTCAGGGGTATTGCAAAACAAGTACACTACAACATGCTTTGGGCAAACTATTTGCTAAAATTAAACTCCTGATTCTGTTCTCCGCATCTTGCGGGAACAGCACATGTACTACACATCGAGTGTCAGGCCTGAATAGCGGCACATAACACTCCTGGGATACTCTTCTGGAATATTTTATGGCTTGTGCATCTCACGTGGCTTCTGTCTGGGTGCCTGAATAGAGCATAACAGGAGAAGCAGTGCAGAATATCTGTTCACAGGTACTTAACGCATCCACAGTCAGGAACAGCACTCATATATTATACATAAAGAGAAGAGAGGACAGAGAGGATTGCAAGATATCTGATGGAGAGAGAGAGAGAGAAGGAAAACGACAGAGAGTAACAGATGTGTTCTTAAAGTTCCTGTTAATTGTTTCCTCTTAATGTTAACCAAAGCCTTGTTGAATGTGTATTTTTAGTACAATTTCTGAAATCTCTTGAGTATGGGCATGTATTGGTGCTGAGACATTATGTAAATCATTCCAGAGAAGTGGTATATCTGGAGAACTTTTTGAAAATTCTTCAAGAGATGTCTATTCAGTAAGCGTACAAAAATCACACATGCACTAGTTTGAGAAGTGCTAAAAATGTTTTATTATAGTTATAATTATTATATGATTATTATAATTCAAAATTTTGGGGCCATAGGATTTTTAATGTTTTTGAAAGTCTCAGTCCAAGGCTGAATTTATTTGATCAAAAATACAGTAAAAAAAACTAATATTGTGAAATATTATTACAATGTAAAGTAACTGTTTTATTTGAATGTATTTTAAAATGCAGTTTATTCCTGTGATGCAAAGCATTATTACTCTAGTCTTCAGTGTCACATGATCCTTCAGAAATCATTCTAATATGCTAATTTGATGCTCAATAAACATTTCTTGGCATTATCAATGTTGATTATTTGGAATAGAGTTTTTTATAACATTTAAAAAAATAACATATAAACATTATAACATTTTATAACATTATAAATGTCTTTACTGTCACATTTGATCGATGTAATGTGCCCTTGTTGACTAAAAGTATTAAATTCTTAAACAAAAATTTATTATATTATATTATATTATATTAGTCCAGAAACAATGCAGATTCTTTAATATTGCTCATTAAATTTATAGAATAAATTAGCTTTTTTAAATGTCTAAACCTGGGAGTTTATTTTTTCTAAGTTTGAATTTTAAACAAAATTCCCAAATCTTCAATCTGGTCACAGATTTTTGGACTCCACTGTATGTAGTAGATGATGCCCAGATGTGTGTTTAAGGAGTATTAATTAAACAGACTCCAAGGAAGCACAATCTGCCATCTCGTACAACACTATAATGAACATCTGCCTGCCAATCTGCTCAGCGCTTCACACACACACACACACACACACACACTCAGATATGCCTTCTCTCTGTACACTATACTGTACGACAACTTCTGAGACAACAAGCTTTTCTTGCCTTTATAGGAATGTTTCTCATCGTACATGACTGTGGTTTCAAAGAGGCCATTTCGTTCAGCTGGACGCGTCGGCTTGCATGTAAACCGCACTCTTGGGCACTCAAGAGGGATGTATTCCTGAAAAGTCTGCCCTATATGTAAATCAACTACCATTAACTCCCCATCCAGGGAATGCTGGTTGACTTGCTGGCAAAAAGCACATTCTAACACTTTCCAGGGAAATGGAAGTTGCGTGTTGAGAAAGAAGGAACAAAATTTGTGCTGATTTTATCCTCCAGCAAGCAAAAAGCTGTTTTAACCTGCTATATGCCTTTTCTTTCTAAGAATCATAAAGAAACTACAGTCAATAAATGGCATAAAAATACAAGTGAAGTCACAAGAAAAGATAATAAACTACACTGTAAAAAAATTGAACTAGTAAATAAAAATGATTGGAGTACGTTTTACAGGAAAATACTATTTCAGTGTTTCTACTTCAAATATTTTTTCAGTACTTTCCTAAAATTGAACCCTTCTACCTTGCATACTCAGGTTGAATCACTATTTGCATACTAACTGTGCAATAGTACATACTGCATGCTAGATTATAATGAATAAGTCCCAAACCATATGTTAAAAACAGCATTTTACAGGTATTGTTAATGCATACTATTTCCATGTATGCATAGAAATAGGCCTATACATGCTTTTCGGGTTAATGCCCAAAACCCCCAAAAATTTATGTTATGTAAAATAAAATTATGCAGCAAAGACGTCTGTGATATATTTTTATTATGCAATATACTACACACACTTCATTCACACATAAAAGCCTTTAAAACTGATCTCTCAGTACCTTTTACATTAGTAATGAGCTTTTGTATCATTGAAATATCTCAACACACATCACGTCCATGCTAGAGAGTAAAACGTGTAATATTATCCCGAGTCACATTGAATTGAAGACTTATGACTGTATGCAGAATGACTAAAGCAACAGCAGAAACAGGAAACAGCCTGTCTGATATTTTTATAACAACTGGCATTTTCATAAGACCAACTGTTTCAAGCAATGGCATTTCTAATAGCTTCCCTACACATGCATGAATATTAAAGATGGCATGCCTTCCATGCAGAAAATTGCATTTTCAAAATAGAAAGAATGCCTTTGATGAATGAGATTCTAGCTTTAAAAACAAGTGAATTAATTGCCTCTCAAGCATCCGAAAGTAACCTGACAAAAAAGCAAGCCGATGTGCATATGTTATTTTGCATGTGTGTGGAGTTTAAGGTTAGAGCGAGAGCTACACAAAATGATCAGTTATTGTAAAAATGCCCTTTGATCCAAACATTCAGCACAGCACGTACTCTTCCTGTGTATGACAGCCTGAGGGCATGTGCCATCTCAGTCCTAAACTATGTCATTAGCTCTTTTTTTCTGTTCGCTATTCAAAAGAGGCTGCGCTCTGTCCTGCTCTAGCTCACACTTGACATCTTTTCTCTGTTTTTATAAGAC